TTTCTCAAATACTCCTTAGATCAGACTCATGTTGTCTCGCTCATTTGAAGCACAATGTTCTGTCACTCTGGGTATGGATTTGATAGATTAAGAAGCAGTTAGGGTTTGTCACCGATGATATAGGGCAGGAGTTTTCATTGGATCACAGCTCACCGGGGTAAAAACTCTGAGCTATGGAGTAACAGCCTGTAATATGCAATTTCTGTCACTGTGTTCTTATGATCTTTGTTCTGGGTCTTGGTCCCACTGGTATCCCAGCCTGAGATTTCAGATGGCTGAATGCACATTATGGGTTCAGGAAGTCTACCTAGGGAGCTACAGGCCAACAGAGCTACAGCTGCTCCTCAGGTAGTGGTCAAAGTGGGACTTGGCACCCATCAGCCTTTGAGTGAAATGACTGGTAAAAGATATATGCAAGGATATTATTCTAGGTTTGAGAGTGTTTGCATTCAGTTCCATTGCAGATTTGTTCTGCAAGCTGGAAAAGTGTCCTATACATTTCTGCTGGTTATTAATTCACAGAGCTTCAACAGTGCTGTATATACACAAACTTAAATAAAGACCTTTACCCATATTTCAGTTTTCTTCATGTTCTATGTGGATACAGTGATAAATCCATTCATCAAGATTTGGTCTTTTTAACTGAAAATGCGGCATTTCTTTACCTCACAGAAGGATAGCAAGGTATTAGAAGATTGTAAAATGAGACTCAGATGAATCATGACAAATGAATATTCAGAAACCTGATTTCTTTCAAACACGTGTGATTTTTTAAAAAGAGCTGGGGGAAGATCAAGAATGCTGCTACCTTTCAAAATATCTGATTTTGGGATAAAATTGGTGTCAAAATGCTCCTTTTCAGTGTTGATGTGTCATGCTTTTTAAATAAATGAAAAGAAGTTTCAACATAAAAATAAACACTGAACCAAAAAATACTTTGAAAAGTGAAATTTCACTGAAACCCTCAATAATAAGTTCAGTGGAAAAAAAAATAATTCTCAACAGAAACTTCATTTAACACTTTTTATTTTCTTGGTTTTTTTCTTTTTTCCTTTTTTTCTTGATTGACTAGGCAGAACAGATACAGGCACCTCCATGGATGCTCTTCAGGTACTGAGAGGGATTTATAAAACTTTATAAACTTTATTTTGTGATGTAATACAAAATGAAAGCCTTACACCTACAATTTCATAGACACTGCTAATCTTTCATTTCCTTCATAAAGTACCCATTTAGCCAAGAATGGATTCCATGCCTGTGCGAAGAATTCTGTATAAGATGCAAGCATTCCTATCCATGGAATTGAGTCAAGAGAGTCTCTAAGGAAAGGATGCCTCAGATGACTGTATTTTATGGAAAAGATTGTTCACGTGCACAGCATGGACTCTCATTTCACTCCTCCCTTCCAATAGGTTTTGTATTCCAGCAATGACATTAGTCAGTGGACAAAGTATATGATGAAACAGGGAAGGTGAACCTAGAAAAGGCAAAATATCGCATCTATTTCTATTGCCAACCTAGATTAAAACCAGACAGACTTCTCTCCCTGTCACTCCCATCTTTGGATGTTCTAGAGGAATGTGTTGTTCTGAATGCTTTCCACATGAACTTTTTCTTTGTTTAAAGAAAAAAAAAATTGCATGTATTATTAATGCTTGTTAGACAAAGGGCATATTTTCACTTATAAAACTTGAACTGAAAAAAATTAAAAGGGACAAAGAGTACAGTTTGTATTAGTAATTTACTGTAACAATTCTAATGCTTCAGGCATCAATAAATTTGGTTACTATTTTTTGTCACAGTAATTATTCCAAAATAACATAAATTTACCATCTTAAAGAAAACAAAAATAATAAGCTTTTCACTTTCTGTGTTAAAGACTCTCACACTTGTTCCTATAACCTACTTACATAATACATTCGTGTAAATATTTAAAAGGGAGAAAAAAATATATTTGAAAGCAAGATTTTTAACCTCCATTCATGCATCCTTTATTACTTCTGAAAAAGGAATATATTAATTAAATCTATCAAATCTTACTTAAATGTCTTTAATGACGCAATCAATACTTTTGTTTCTATGAATGCCTGTTTTCTCCATTGCTTTATGGCACTTTCAAAGGGCAAATGCCTGGTCCAAATGTGAAAAATACCATGGATCCCTTGATTTATATGCAGTGAGTATTTAGTTTAAGCATCTTGCTTACTTTCATATGAACTGATGGGGTTTTTTGGTGTCTTATTATCTGAAATTACAATAACAAAAAATATTTTCATTACAAGCAATCATCTAGGTCCCAGTTATGCAAAATGATTGTCTGAAAGCTAGGCATTTTGTTAGACTGAGAGAAGACTGAGAATTAGGTGATTTTGGTAAAACTGGAACTGTGAAGTTGGCCTACTTCTAGAGTTGGAACGAGATTAGAAAGTTAATCCTAAGTGTTGACAAAACATGGAACCTTTCTTACTGTGTGGCCTTTTGACTAATGGATGTTGCAAGAGGCTGGACAAAACATTGAACATACACACACACATGTTTTTAAAACTTAATAGCCTTCTACTTAAAACTTTATAAAAGCTCTAAATAAATCTTTTCAGCAATAGCTGGAACTAGAACAAATACGGATCAATGAGAAGCAGAATATAAATTGTGCTTTTAATAAGAACAGAATTAAAACTGAAACTAAATTGTTGTGCATGGAATAGGATAAAAGCTGTAACTAATTAATTACTGTGGAACTAAATAAACACTGGTAGTGTAATGTGAGCCTAAGGGCCTATTCACATAGATTCCTTTTTGGTAGCAAAGCCATGCTTCGTTACAACTAGAAGCACCAAGATAGATTTACCTGAGTTTAACTGTCCTGTGAATATATGAGAGATACAGGAACCCAAGGTGAATTTAGCAGGCTTTCAAGCATGTTCCACTTGGGGATCTCAGCTCTAACTGGAATTATGAGAACTCAGTATTGTTTATAGAGACGTGGTGTAATGGCTGAAAGTTGGAATGAACCATAAATGCGATGACATGGAAATGTGTACAAAGATGAAATAATTCATGTTTCAGTCATCGCAGAGTCCTTAAATGATTTTATGTTGTAGAAGTCTTTGGATACCTAAGAGAATGCCTATAGCATTTATTTGTGTTTTGATAAATGATTAAGGCTACTCATTACATAATTAAGGGGCTAATCCAAATTTGCCTCCCCACACACCCTCCCAGTTTAAATGGGCTGCCATTTCAAACCACAGATATGGCAAAATATTTTATTGTTTAGACTTACATTGCCAAAGGTCATATGATTCCAAAGGAATTAGATACTTCTTAGAAAAAGTTGCTATTAGCTATATCATGCCCACCTATTCGGGTTTTGAGTATTCTCAGGGTTTGCCTCTCTCTCATCATTGTTTCCAGGTTCAAAGTTGCCCAGCAGCTCAAACTCACACCGAGGAGAAAAGATGAGATCTATATTTATGACACATTGCACTTTCCTAAGAGAGCAAGCTGAAGCTATATGGATACAGTAGCAACAAAGCATGTGGCCTCAAAATCACTATTTTGAGAAAGCAACGGTATGAATAAGGCATGAACAACCTACTTAGGAGAGAATCTAATAAAGAGGCATGGGAAGAAAATAAGATAGACACAGTGCGAGGTCATGAGGTTTCTTGTAAACTTAACACAGTGGTGAAGTCACCATTATGTGTACTTGCTTCCAAACATGACTATCTGTGTTGCAGAAGAAAAACCACGAGTATAGTGTGATAACATACAGATCTTTAATCTATAAAGAAGATTAACTTCCAAGTTTAACAGTATAAAAGAATAACAAATACTTTTTAAAACAAAAATACAAGATAATACACAGTTGCATCTTGGTTACTCCTGCTGCCAAAGCTGAAAGTACACAATTTCTGGGGTACAATTCCACTGCATACAGTGTTTTCTATCACTTCAGCATCTTTTGAAATTGAAACATTTTATTTGCAGAAAAGCATTTCCAGGGACAAGCCCAAGCCAGGGTGCTATTATGATTAGCTAGTCATATGTCAGATACCACAAATTATTTAAAAAAAAAACAAAACAGAATGAAATCATTGCTTGTTGTAATCCTTCTGCCTTTTCGTGTCAGCTCCTAGATGCCAGCAGTCCACCTACCACTGCATCGATCAACCCAGCGGCTTGTAACTCACAGTTGTTCAAGAGCTGAACCTTTTTCACTTGGGTCTCCTGCTCTAAATCCATATCCGCAAGTTCTTAATCCCCTCAGGCACACATACAAAAGAAGCATTGCAGGGAAAAAAATCAGAAACAAATAGGAAAATTTGTGAGAACTCTCAGACAGCAAAGGAAAAGCCTCAGGGAGGGGCAATGTGAGCAGCCCCTCCTGATGGCAATTGTTCATAATTTGTTTAGCTTTACCTCTCCTGGATCCTGAGGCAAACCAAAGAGCTGATGGGGGCAGCCAGGTGGAGGGAAAGAAAGGCTTAACAATCTGTTTCTCCTTCCGTCTCTATGTAATTAGATTTTCAAGTCTGACCCATATAAACACCGCTCCTGCTTTGCACTGACCACAGAAACATGCTTGTAGGCACAGCCTGAACCAGACTGGAGTGACACTGCAATCCACCTTACTCCTTGTTGGCTTGCTGTATTGCCAAGTGAAAACAAACAGGGGAAAAAATCCTGGCAGAAATTATAATGGAAGGTGCCTCAAAAGTAGATGAAAGGATACATTTTTCTACAAGTATCCCAACTGTAGAGTAACTGTTTTGAATCCAGTAGTGGTTGTACTCTCATTGCATATTCTTTGGAAAGCATAATAATAACAACAATACAACCAAAATGAAATAAAATATTGCCACCGATGAAAAATCTGTTTAGCTAAAAACTGCAAAACCAAGTAAACATCAATTTACACACTTCCCTTGGTCCTGCAAACCTGAAGCATCCAACACTGCTTGGATTAAACTGAGAATACAGTAGACTTTTCAGCATAACTCTACTTAAATGACAGTACTGATTAAGAAAAACAAGGTATACTATTGAAACCAAAATACATAGAATCAGGTTTCTGTGCTACTCTTTGCCAAAAAGCTATTTTTTAAAAAACTGGTTTAAATGCAAACTTTTACATCTCCAACACGTTTTACATATTTCAGACAACAGAATACACATACATTGTATGTGATAATTTTTCAAAACTAGCCATTACATTTTCACAGATTAAAAAAAAAAAAAAAAGTCTGCTTAAATATTTCATTTCTACAAAGTGAATTTACATTTTTAAGTACAAAGTGCAAATACTACAGTTGTTTTTATTGCCTTTTGGTGAGGAAATCTCCCACATGTCAAAGAGATCTGCCTTGGATCAGTAAGTTGTTCAGCCTTGCTTCTTAGAAACTTGCTGAAAGAAAATTGGAAAAATATGCATTAGCAATGATGTTTTCAAGTAAGCAAGTGTAAATCTTTATTTTTCAGCAGTCCCCACATGCAAGAATTCAGCAAAAATTGATATGGGGAATAAAAAAATCTCTGCTTGGTAGTCCTTCTTATCATATAGAAATAAGAGTATGAGCAACATCTTTATTATTTCTTACCTATGGCCTCTTCAGATCTATACCTGTCAAACACAGTTTTAGGAACTGCTTGGGCAAGTCCCTGGTGCAATATACCTTTCTATGGCATGTGATGTATAGGGAATGGGCTGCTGGCCAAAGGCTTATGAACAATCTATAGTTTCCTTGTAAACTTTTTGCTAGGCAGCAAAAGACCCTCTGGGTCTTATTGACAGTGTGTGTGCATGTATGGGTATCTTTGTTGGACAAGGTGGAGCTGCGCAAGTGAAATACACCCAGCTGCTACCCCAGTTCTGTCAGATCCATCAAGTATTTGACCTCTTTTAGAGCAACCATGGCTGAGACTCAGTCAGCATATTAGTATAGGTATCTATATCTGCTTTCTTTCACTAAGCTTCTATGTGCACAGATTTGCACACACATAAAAATAAATATTCAGGAATATATGCCTATACACACATAAACATATATATAACTGAACTGCCACATTAAACTAGTAGAAAATGAGCTCTTGTGTGCCCATTTCTGGAGTGGTGCAAATCTGATTACTCCATCTAAGATGTTTTTGTTTTTTTCCTTTGAGCAGCTCCTACCAAGCCCAGTTGCATTTCAATAACTTCCTTTCAAGTGAAAGCTTTTGTGATGAAAGCCACCTTCTGCATTTGCAGTCTTGTATTGTTCAAGTATGAAACTGCCACCAGATGGTTTGCTGAGACAGCCTTAATTTAAGGCTATCGTTTGTCAGCAACAGCTATTAAAGTAATTCTGCTGAGTCAGCAAAAATATTGGACGAAATTAAAATACATAGATGCTCTAAGACACTTTTATTACAGATTCTGCAAGTCAGGATCAGATTACAAGAAGGGGGAGAGGGCTTGTCATGCTTCAAGTGTAATGCACGTGTGCCAGTAATTGCCATTATATAATTAAAATAACCCCTTTGAATGTTTTTTTTGAGTTCCGACAGGATAATTGTTTTCAGGCTGCCTAGCCTAAAGCATAAGTGATTTGTGAGAGGAACTTGAAAAGTTAAGACCACAAACATTTGTTTAAACAAACAGAAACTTATCACATCCCTCTAGCTGTGAGAATATTTTTAATTCCATCAAAGGCATGTAGGAGGTCTCTTGTAGAGCCCAGAGCCAGTGTTAAGGTGCCTTAAGAAGCGTGAACTGAACATCAAACAAATCAGAAATAAAGCGAGTAACAGACTAGCAATAAGAGGAAGATTTATCTTAGATTGTTAGAAGGTTCATCCTGGGTTCAGTTTTTAACATATTAACATAGTTTTCTGATAGGTGGGAAGACATTAACCACAAACATGAGTTTTTTTAAATATTTTTAGCTAAATTGCTATTTTCCCTGCCATGTTACCTGAGCTGTTCTTATGCTTACAAAAGTATGTAAAAAAACCAAAACTATTAATCATTTACTGATGCTTTTGTGGTAAATAATAATACAATTCCTCTAACTAATACAGAAGTGGGACAAGAATGATATGAAGAGCATTATTTTACCAGACCAGTCAAATAACTGGCAGACTCACATGTTCTTCTTGAACCATGCAAAAATGTCAGGAAGTTGTGACCGTGTTGTCCAGAAAAGTGAATCCTTAGGATTAATGATTAAGAAAATAGACAGGTACAAATGAAAAGCCCTTTTCTAATCTTCCACTTGAATCTCTCCTTTCTAATGTGTACCTTCCCTTGATCTAAAAATTCTTGTTTTGTGCCTTTTGTAGCTCTGAATGCCATGAGTAGACAAAATGCCAAGAATGACATACTAAGAAAAACAAAGTCAAGTCTCTGCAGAAAATTGATGTGAAAATACATAATGGATTATGCTGTCAGGGCACTTGACATTTTATTTGCTACAATCATTCTGCAGACCTAACCAATTTTAGTTGTAACAAACTTCAGCAGACTGATGCAAATCCTAGTTCTCCAGCATAATTTTGCTGAGCCAGCAAAGGCATTGGAAAGTGACAGCTCTATTCTCTACACAAAGATTTTAAAAGCTTTTTAAAACCACCATACAATAATTCAGTGGGCTTTGTAAAATCTATAGATTTTCAGAGGGCACGGGAATTCCATGGGTTTTTTTCACAAAGAGTAGTTTAATCAAAGTTTGAGTCCACAGTATGACTCACAGGAAAGCTAACTGAAGTCAGTTAAAACAAAAAGAAAATGAAGATAAAGCAGTGCACATTTAAAAGTGCATGGGAATGCCAACATTTGGAAATGCAGAAGACTTATATAAGGGCTCAAGTACACTCATCTAATTATCACTAACCTAGATGCCAATTACACTTTGCTAGGAACATCCACATGCAGGCATAGTCCATTTTGCATTTATGCACATTTACTCTGCACCTGCAGTTGACTAATTCTGCTTTGCTTAGACAGAACTTCAGTAAAAATTTGTTAATCAGGATGCTGGTCTATAATTTCCTGGCAAGTCTGAAGAACGGCAGATGAATGTATTTTGCAGCTGCAAGGATAATTGCTGAAATCCCAAGAAATTCAGCTGAACAAGACAGGAATGGAGATCTTGTTCTCCTTTGTACTCACCTGCCTGTTGGATGAAGTGCTCTCAGTGTTGGTTTTAGGGGATGCTAAGGGAGGGAAGAGAAAACATTATGAATATGGTTTGCAAATTATATGTAGCATCCCCAAAAACTGAAGCCCTCAATCAGTCATTGGACAGGGCAGGGTAAGGCACAGCTTTCAATAAATGAGATAATATATTTCAGATCTTCCATTGAAATGTTCATTCTTTTCTTTCCTCACTGCAGGTCTTGCTTCTATCATGTTGTTTGGAAGCTGAATGACAGCATTTCTTGCCAGTTAATATCTGATATTTTCTTAGGATAGATTGCAACTAGTTAGAGTTGTGCATTTCAAACATATTACAGTTTAATAGTAAATTTAGGCTATTATCCTTGTGAAAGAAACACTGACAAGCAGACTGTCTGGAAAGCATTCACTTTGCTTAAATACATTGCACACTAACAGCTCTACCAGTCAAATACATTGTTCAGCTTTAATCTATAAAACAAGGTTATTGCTGGTTTTTAAGTTTTTTAGTGGTGAGGTCCAAGACACTGCTCTAAATGAGGGAAAAAGAAACCCAGCTACATAAATCTGCTGGCCCATTCAACTTCACAAGCAGGCTTGCGATGTTGGAAAGGAACTAACCCTCTTGATTTTCCATGTCTGTTTGTTAGTCAGTTAAAGCTGCACTGGGAAAAAGGGAAGTGAGACTGGACCTTGAAAAATACTGCAGAAAATATAATTCCCTACGAAAGTATGTTTTGCATCTCTCTGGCTCTTACATTTCTTCAAATTGTTCTCACAGACACCTGGGACTCTCAGAGAACCACAGAGAGCAGCCTCCTTATCCCAGCTTTCACATCTCAGCTGATGGGGTCTCACCTATTCCTAGAAATGTAACTCCAGCTTTAATGGAGTGACCACTGATTTCTTTCATGCAAGGGAAAGGATGATCAGAAAGGACTGTAATTACCAAGCAGAAGAAACAAAACAGAATGCTCATTTTCCAACAAAAGCAATTTTTATTGTTTCGTCTTTAAAAGCATGTATTTCTAGTAAAGCAACCAAGTGATTTGGTTTAGAATTTTTTTTACCTGGATGCTATTAGCTTTTCAATGAGAAAGTGTTGAGATATTTTTCCCTTCCAAGAATTAATGTTCTCATTATTAGCTACATTTTTCTGAGGGGGGGAGATCTCTTAAAAATCTCCAGTTACAGTGAACATAATTTTTTTCTTTAGCTAAATCTGTGTATGATCTTCATATAACTTCATTCCTCTTCCAATTTTATTTTCTGAAACAGGCAGCTTATATGAAGCAAGAGAATCCTGCTTTTCTTTTCTTTTCTTTTTTTTTTTTTTTTTTTTTTCCCCACTGAAAAGGGCAAAGGAAAAACTGGGTTTTGTTTTTAATCTTACTATAGCTTTCCTTTATGTCCTGGAACAACGACTTCAGAACCAGTTTTCATCAACAAGACAAAGGAGTGACAGCTATGTCAGGACGGAAGTGTCTGAATGTCAGGCAGAGTCTGGTGTCCAAACATGAGGCAAGTCTCAGCTTGGGCTGGTGCTCTGAAGTTTGTGTAGATGTAGCCATGAAAAACAATTGCCATTTTTTTTTTTTTTTTTTTCCCCACTGAAAAGGGCAAAGGAAAAACTGGGTTTTGTTTTTAATCTTACTATAGCTTTCCTTTATGTCCTGGAACAACGACTTCAGAACCAGTTTTCATCAACAAGACAAAGGAGTGACAGCTATGTCAGGACGGAAGTGTCTGAATGTCAGCATATGGAATGACCCTAATGGTCTACACTTTAGGACAGTTGTCTACCAAATAGTGTAAATGAAAGAAGTGTTACATTTTAATTTCCACTTGTATAGCATGAAGATAACAAAAGTCATCCACCTTTGTATACAGTTTTCCACCTCAATCATTCTGAGATCCCCGACAAACAAAACAATTTGCCTATATTCATGTCCTACATCTTCTTACTACTATTGTTGTTTTAAAATTAAATAAATAAATAAATAAATAAATTCTTCTTCACTTTCAGGAATGGTGTGATTGCACTCTGCAGGGACTATTACACACTGTAGTTAGCTGTTCCCCTTCTACCAGTTTGGCAGCAAGGTAAGGTGGCTGTCTACCAGCAGTTGTTCCACCTGTTTGGCAGATGACCACATTCCTTACTGTATCTCTAAACCACATTTGAGAAATGAGAAGTCATTAGAAAGCTCAACAATGTGCTTCCTTCCCAGCAGAAATCCAGAAAGCACAGGTGTGGTACTTCCCCTCATTCAGGACATAGTACTGTAATAACATTAAATTGGCTTTTTTGATGACTGTTAATGTTATCGTATCCTCTTAGGTTTCCTACTGTAATACATTCAATGGTCAGAATCAAAGGGAAGTTTTCAATTCTGTTGGAGGAAAGTGATGATTTGCCTATGCAGAAGCAGCTTTCTTGCCATCTACCCTAAGCAATAGTTGCATTAGCTACAGACAGGTGTATTCTTTTATTTTGTATACTTCTGGCATATGCAAGAATCAGACTTCATCAGATTTGAAAAATCTAGTGAATAAAGTAGAAAAGGTTCTTACTATGGTGCTTCCTTGTTTCTGCTTTACCTTCTTCTTTTGTTACTCCCAAGCAGCCCATTAATTCTTGAACCGATAAGGACTTATCATTGTTCACATCACAGTATTCCACAAACTTCTTCACACATTTTTTGGGCTTTGATTTCTTTCTTAGGAATCTCTTAAATGGCTTTATTTCTTTCTTGCCAATGTCACCACTGGAATTTTTATCAAGCTGTTTGAAATACCAATGGACTACTCTCTCTTCCAGAGTATGATTTGGATCAGGCTCTGAAACCCTGAAACAGAAAATGATAGTTTAGTCTTCATTCTGGTACATAAACATCAGTTTATACCTTTATTTCAGAGTAGTTAAATCACTGGCAGACACTTCATTATATAAACCTGTAACGAATCCTTCTTTTTCCACTTTGGTCAACTGTATCCTAAATTTTACACTAAGTGCTTGAATCTGCTTTTAGTTAACTCTGAAATTGTGTCGAGGTCAGCATCATACTCATAAAAAGATGCTTTCCCCTTTCATTTCCTGAAAGATAGAAAAGTGAAGAGAGGAATAAAAGAGAAAAAGACGGTTTCATAGATGGCAGACACATCAAAATGTGTAATATAACCAACTGAAGTAGGTCAGCAGTCAGCATAGCCAAATACATAGGCTCCAATTACAACCCATGATGGATGCTTTTAGAGATAAAACACTTAAATGCATTGAATTATAGGGTAAAGTATAACAATAAATGTCACCTCCTCTTCATATGGTAAGCACCTGACCTGCAGACACGCAGAGTCTGACAACACACATACGTAATTCAACCTGTGACTGTTGATAGCATTGGTTTGTTTTACAAGCAGCTAAGCAAAATATGAATCAGGAAGGTAGCATACACTGAAGAGAAGCCTGAGAGGACAACAAATACTGAGACACAGTTGCACCAGAAGCTACAGTTAAATGCTAAGCTGTGCTGCTGCTGAGAATTCAGCTATCATGTGCTCCTCTGTTTAGTGGACATAGTCTACAGTAGTAACTTTGAAGTAAACTCTTCCAGACAGGTTCTTGGAAATTTACCCTTTCTGAAGGCAGGAGAATAATTGCTTCTCAAAGCCCTCAACCATTTATTCACCATTGCCAGAATCCTTTTAAAGACACATGAAAAGGATATGAAACCCACCGGCTGGAAGACAATGATGGATCAGAGACCGCATGCACCATATCTGTGGACAATGCATCCAAAACACTAGTCAGGAACTCATTCTTCTTGGCACCAGGACAACCTAGAAAACCAGATTTTTTTCTTTCCTTGTTTGCTCTTTTTCCAACATTTAAATCCCAATAACACTTCAAACTTAGATATAGATATTACTCTCTCTACACAAATTCCAAAAATCTGGGGACAAGTTCATAGCATAACTCAAATACAAGGTTTTATCTACATTCAGGTACATATCTGTAACATAGAGCAGGAACAGAAAAAACATCCCTTTAAACTCGAGCAAGTGGGAATCTGGTTTGCATACCTTGGGGGCCACTCTTTACATTTTTCTTCCTTCTTTAGGATAGTTAACCATGGGTCTCACATTTTGAAAAGAACAGTTTTGACACAACAGAATTTTGTGCATGACAGAGACTGTTTGAAACACAGACTAGAAGCCTGTAGCACAACAATTCTTTCAGATTTCCTCTTTTGCTCCTCTCAAATACCATTGGCTTTCTCAACACACATTCTCTCAGTGCATTGGCTTCCCTCTCTGTAAAACGGCATTCAAGTCCTTGCTTGTTTCATTTTTGCCTTGGACAAGGCTTTACTCCCACTATAGGGCACCTAGACCAATCAGATGCTCTTAGTTAATTTGGTTCTTTGTTTTAGTACTTTGGTTCATACTGTGGGATCCTATGGTGATGCTGCATCATCATCTAATTACATTCCCTATGCCGCAAAGCTCTTCTCTGAAAGAAACTGACAACACATTTCAGACATATAATACATCAGATAAATGTATACTGAAAGATCCACCCTTGGAACAGTCCAGCTGGAGCAGATAAATTAATCTGACAAGCACATGGATGTTGATACATAGAGGTTTGTTTATGCATTGCACCTGTTTCGTCTCCTCTTCCTTAGAGCCCTGAGCCAAACACCAGGTCTTCCTCTAGCCCTGTAATAGCTGGGTTAAACTCTAGGATGATCCAAGATCATAGGGATGAGAAGCTTGAAGCTGCAGACCATGACAGAACTGTTTCAGACAACTCTGTGAGGGAGGCCCATTCTTAAGTGAAAAAGAAAAATGCTTTGAAGTGTTGTGGGAAAGGGAGATTAGTCAATCAGTAGGGATTTGTTATTTCATTATATTTCTTAGCGACCTCTGGAGCAGGCAGCAGGATTATCTGTTCCTCTGAAAGGCCTCATCTTGCCCAGCAAATTATTTTTTAATACATCCCGTGTTGATCCAAGGAAATGAACCTGTGTTATATTAGTCCTTAGTTGTGTTGCAGTAAGAACAGCTCAGCTTTTATGTATGCAGCACCCACTATACATTGTCTAACACATTGATGCAGTTATGAGTTCTCTGTCTCTTATATGTTTGCCTTTGGCACCAGGGACATTTTATTCCAGTAACTGTAAAAGACATATAACAGGAATTCACTGAAGCAAGTTTCACTGCACTAAAAGTACACATATAAAACCAGATATCACTCTCCTAGATATGTCCCTCTTCCCTTACCCATTAACAAGGGTTTTTTCCCTGTTTCAACTGGGGAAAAAAAAAAAATAAATAAAAAAGAAAGAAAAGAAAACCCAACCCAGAAGCCATGACTATAATCCTAAATTTGAGTTCAGTGAAACTAGCATTCAAGCTTTCTCTGTAAGGTACAGAAATGAGAAGGTGGCAAGAGATTAATAGGGAGGGACAGAAGGCTACTATACCAACAGAATCCTGGCACCATTCTGTGCATAATTCAACAATATATTCTCCAGAGCAAAGAGCTTGATGATAAGTAAGGCTTAAAGATTGTGACTATGTAAGTAAATTGTGCATTGTAATTTAAATGAAGCCACGTAACTTTGCAAGTCAGAAAAGCACATTTGCCCAGAGACGAGCAGGTGGAGCCCAAGCAGTTCCCATGCAGAAGGCACATCCAAGGCAACCTGACTGAATCAAGCAACTAAGTCTCTGAGCAACTTATGGAGCTCAGCACTACATCTTTCTAGCAAGGATGCTTGGCCTGTGGACCAGATCTAGTTCTCTTCAAAGTTCAGGCAAAAAGAAGTCTGTTCAAGGCTCTCCATCGTAAATGGCACAAGCTTCATCCATTTTTTTCCTGGAGTTGTATTACAGCCATCAGGTAGAAACCTGAATCCTGTTCAAACATGAGTTGAGAATTGATAGAGGGCTCGTGGAAAACAGAGACAATAATACCTCAGCATATAACAATGCACCACAAGATACTCTGATATTTTTTTTCTTTCTGTCCTTTTTTGTATAGGTAATAATGTTAGTATCCAATTTGATTTAGAAGCTTCATCTGAATTTTTCATGTTAGTGTTGAGTGTGTTCTTGAAACATCTGGAAGAAACAAAACTGTATGCTTTAGATATTTCCACTGCTGCTCAAGGAGCTGCTGAGTATACATATGCTACAGATGTAGAGATTAAAATAGTGACTTAGCTTGCTATTTATGAGATACTGCTATGTAGGGGAAAGTATCAACTCTAAATCCACAAGAAATCATGGGGAAAAATGTCCATAGTTTAAAGCCTGTCTCAGACAATTTTCCCTAAAATTAAGAAAGGTTTCTAAATGTCTATTGCATAAAGTTGAAATAGCAGCTGAGAGAAATAGAAATATTCTTTTAGAAAAGAAATATCACCGTTAAAACAAACACAATCAGCTGCTGTGAAACATTCTAAATTATAACTCTACTGCTTAATGTAAAATGAGACCCTACAAAATCCTCACCAGTTAAATACAGAGAAAATATTCAGTTTCTCCCAATTATAATTTTTGCTGATGTGTGGGCAATCACAGCAATTTACCTCACAGTGAAATCTTTGTACTTTGCAGGTGTTATTAACTCAGAATAATTCTCTGGAGGCTTCACACTGAGATTTATTTTTCAACAAACTTGCGGATGAAATGGCAAGGCTGGAGGAGCTTTAGCTTGATTGTAATGAATAATTCACTCTTAGTGGATTAAATACAGAAAGAGAAAGACTAGTCTCTTACAGGAGTCATGCTTCTCACTATGGTTTATGTGCTTAACCTTCTTCTGCAGCTGCCTGTCCTGTGTGGACTTGACAGCTTACATAAATAATAATTTGTTGTTAAAGGGTTGAAGTTCAAACCACATGGAATTAACCTACAGGTTCAGAGATGTAACATAGGGTTCAGTGTTTGCTTTAAGGATAGTTTTACACAGAGTAAATCTTAGACCAACAAATACCTACCACAAATGATGGAAATATACAAACACCTTGTTTCAGCTAGAATATAAAGGTAATCAAAGAATCATTGTTATGCATTATATATCCCATATATACATGTCTCTCTATCAATATATCTATCTTTGGTACTGAGGATCGATTTTTGGATTTAAATCTGTAAGGCAGTTGTCTATAAACCTTCTAAAAAATGCAACCAAATGGAGCTTGGAGCTCCCTACTTGGTTGATACTAATCTCCTACTGTCAGTCTTGGAAGATTACCTTTTACAGCTCATCTGAAGTTATGGCTAGAAAAGTATTTTGTTATTTTCTGCAAAAATGTAAATAAAATAGGTAGGATTAATCACTTAAAAAGAAATTTTACATTAACCTTCCTGCAAGAGAGGAAACTATCTTGAGTCAGGCAGTCAAGTAATTAAAGGCATGACTGCTTCCAATTAGTAAATCTAAAGCTTCCTTTTTGTCGCCTAGTTGTTAACATGAATATCAGGCTTAGCGGTGCTCTTCAATACAATGACCACTGAAATACTTCTGAAGATTATAAATGTTTTGATCTGCCAAAACCCAAAATTATCATAACTATTTGTATTTCTTTTGCGACTTTGACTTCACTGAAATCGTACAATCATTTTGGTTGGAAAAGACTTTAAAGATCATCCAGTCCAACCATTAATCTAGCATTTCACCACTAAACCATGATTCTAAGAACCACATCTACATATCTTTTAAATACCTCCAGGGATGGTGACTCCACCATTTCCCTGGCCAGTCTGTCCCAGCACCTGACAACCCTTTCAGTGAAGAAATTTTTCCTAATATCCAATCTACATACCCCTGGTACAACTTGAGGCTATTTCTTCTTGTCCTATCACGTGTTACTTCTGTCATCTCCCTCAGTACACTTGGAGGGATCCTCTCTGGCTCCACAGACTTGTATGTGTATATATTGGTATTCAAGAGCAAAAAAATTACATTTGTCAATGCTAATGGTTATGCTGGGACAGCAGACAATATAAGGAATTTTTTTTTTTTTCTGGACTTTTATTCTATACATGTACAGTTCATGAGTTTATTTCTGTTGATCCATATAAAACACAAGTTTATATTTGTCTAGATATGTTGAAGGCCCCCTTCATATTTTTGAGGACTTTTAGAGCTCTTTCTGAGCCTCATTCCAGCATAAAAGCCCTTCAAAAGATGAGATGGGGAACTGAAATTGCTGATAACTCTGCTGGAGACTAAAAATCATGGCTTCAACAGTGTTGGTGGTTTTATGGCTCATTTCCTCAGTTTTTCCTTCACTGCACCTCCTAGTAACCTCTCACAAACAGTAATTATCTACTTCTTAGTCTCTGTCCTAAAGGGTTGGTGACATCATCTCTTCTTGCTAGCATCATTCTGATATTACTTTTTCCTTTCCTTCCCTTTCCTTTCCTTCACTTTTTTCCTTTTCTGGCAAATATTCTTACCAGTTAAAAGATTTAACTTAAATTCAGAGTTAAATTCTATTTTATCTGTGCTTACCCAAATTCCCAAAATAATAAAGTAGAATACAATAGATATTATCTGCAGAGGAGCTACAGATCCATTGCTTTGTAGGCCCAGATCTCTGTGTCTTACAGGGAAAAATTCATTTTGGAGAAGGGCAGGAAGTAGATTTCAGTTCTCTACATTTATTTAACTTCTTTTGTGTTACTATTTTAAAATTATCTTTCTGTTCTAGTTTCAGGGGAGGAGAAGTAAAAGAGCAAACAAAGGATGTTCTTTCAAGGCCCTACCCTTCAATCCCAGGAATTCATATCATACCAAAGTGCATTGAGTGGGATTTGTT